GGGATTCTGTTCCTGTCTGCTGCACCCTGTCTCACAGCAACAGAGGTCACTATCTGAATAACCATCCCATAAAGACAGGGAGCTTGTTCTCTGAGCCAGACAAAAGCCAGCCCTTTATCTAAAAGGCAGCGCCGAGTCAAAAGCAGTAGGCTTACAAACCACTTCATGTGCACGTCGGGCGTACCTGCGTGGAGGGCGCTCATAACCAACCCTCCCTGGCGGCACCATGAGCAATGGGAAGCACAAAGGAGGAACCAAGACCCAGGTTGGAAGTGGCTTTGACTTTTTTATCCTGCGCACTGAAGATGTGGAAAGAAGCAGACTGAGTGTCCGAGCTGGTCTTTATCGTCTGTCTTTACATAAACGTGAAAACCAATAAGACAGGAGTTAGTTGGTCTCCCTGTTCTGGGTTCGGTCACAGACACCTGTCCATGGAATGGCTATGCAGCTGTCTCTGCCGTGACCCTGGATGGACATCTTACGTGCCAGGTTAATGGTACCCTCAAAAATCTGGGACAAGCCCTCAGGACAGCCCTCAGGAAGGCCAGCCACCAGCACAGTCCACCCAAGACTGCCCCCTTCAGGTCATCCCCCAGGACAGACCTTAAGGAAGCCCCCACAGGTTAGTCCCAAGGATAGCCCAAGTACCCTGACACCCCTTCCCTCAGCAGGGGTGGGTGGGCTGCATCAATAGGGAGCTGCCTGCGTGTCCCACCTCCCAAGGACCCTCTAGTGGCAGGAGGCAGGAAATCTGTGAGAATTCCGGAAGGCAGTGGTTTCGCCCTTGTCTGTGGCTCCCCCCACCCGGGGACCAGCAGTGCAGTCGCTCCCAGGAAACCAGGGTGCACCACGTGTGCAGCTGTGAACACCCCTGAGCGGCGCCCTGTGGCCAGTGAGCATGCGCACACCCCACGTGACCAAGCTGCAGTGTCTCAGCCCAAGGCTGTCAGAAGGGGGCTGGGGTACAGTGTCCCTCCCAGAACCCTCAGTCACACTTGGCCTGGCTAGCAACAAGGTGAAGGTTGGTGTTCTTGGCCCTGTCACCACACAGCAGTTCTCCAGCCCCTGGAAGCTCCCACCTTACTGGGCTCATTGCATCCCCAAGAGCGGGTATGGCTCCAGGGTACCCTGAGAGCCCAGATGTCCTCAGGCTCTGCTCTGGGCTCTTCCTGACCCTGAAGCCCCTGAGTGACCATCCCTTCTCTCACTGACTGAGGCCTCGGGTATGGAGGGATAGACAGCGGGGTGGTCCCCGTGGGGTTCATCACCACCCACCCTGACCTCCTCTCCCTGACACCTTAGAGTGATCCCTGCCACAGCCTTCCTTGCCCCTCGGGACCCTCATTGGTCCCCTGGCCATGTCTGCACCCTGTCCAAGCATGACTCCCTGACACCTCGTGCCCCCGCCATGCACACAAACCCTGTGGTGCAGAGTGACGGGGATGGAGTTGTGGTTGCAGAATGGGAACAGGTCCTACTCCATTCTGAGCATCCCGAGTGTGGGCAATACTTCCACAGATGTCCCAAGACCAAATACCCACAGGGCTTCACAGCAGCTTGAAAATCAAGGTACTTTGGCAATTTGGTACGCTTGCAGAGAATGAAATAAATCAGACTTCTGCTTTGAGCAAGAGGGCTAATTCAGGAAATCTGACAACTCTTCCACTGCAGACACCAAAAAACAGCTGCTAGACACCCAGGAAAGAGCATTACATCTGCCAGGAATACGGAGGAACTGAAAATGAGGTAGAGGGGGCATGCGGAGGGATCCCAGAGCTGCTCTACAGGGTGTGGGTGCTCCATTTATAAGGACAGGAGACAAGATCTGGGACCCCCTGAACAGGAAAGGGAGCAGCTAGAACCTTCCAAGGGGAAAGGCTGGGTCAGGAAAGCACTCGCCTACTGCCTAGAAAGGGGAAAGGCTTCTTGTCTGTCTGCCTAGACCGTGAGAAACCTGAGGCCTGCACCTCACAAGGATTTGGGGACTTTAATTAATCCATGTGGTCCAGGAAGTTCATCCCAATCTGGGGACACCCCTAAGAGATCTTGCAGCCATTCTTTAACTGCTCTGCAGGGATAATGTGCCCTTCTGTGTTCCCAGAAGGAGTCCTGGTGTGGGCTGCGAAGTCGGCTACAGTTCAAAGCCACCCCGGGCTCTCCGCAAAGCCTCCGCAGGAGCTAACGCAATGGTATTTGGACGCTTAGGCCCCTTGGCCACCAGGGGGCAGAGCTCCACTACAATGAGTTTACAATGAAAACTCACAAAACACCTTGAGAGAGGATCACCCCAACCAGGTCATGTGGGATACGGCGGCATCAATTAGAGAATTAATAAATAAAATAACAACACCTATGATATAAATCCACCACTCATCTGTCAGTTTGTTGTATTGTGGGGGCTTGTGAGTTGCTGTGATTCTGAAAGCTATGCCACCGGTATTTTAAATACCAGCAGGGTCACCCATGGTGGACAGGTTTCAGATGAGCTTCCAGACGAAGACAGACTAGTAAGAAGGAGTGACGAACTACTTCCGAATATTTAGTCACTGAAAACCTTATGAACAGCAGAGAAACACTGTCAGATATAGTGCCGGAAAATGAGCCCCTCAGGTTGGAAGGCACTCAAAATGCGACTGGGGAAGAGCTGCCTCCTCAGAGTAGAGTTGACCGTGATGACGCAAATGAAGTAAAGCCCATGGGAGTAAAGCCTTCATTTGCTGATGGGGTGCAACTCAAAATGAAGAGAAACAGCTGTAAACATCCATTAATAACAGGAACATGGAATGTACAAAGTATGAATCTAGGAAAATTGGAAGTTGTCAGAAATGAAATGGAACTCATAAACATCGATATCTTAGGCATTAGTGAGCTGAAATGGACTGGTATTGGCCATTTTGAATCTGACAACCACATGGTTTACTATGCCGGAATGACAAATTGAAAAGGAATGGTGTTGCATTCATCGTCAAAAAGAACATGTCCAGATCAGTCATGAGGTACAATGCTGTCTGTGATAGGATAATATGCACGAGCCTACAGGGAAGTCCAGTTAATACCACTATTATTCAAATTTATGCACCAACCACTATAGCCAGTGAGGACAAAATAGAAGAATTCCACCAACTTCTTCAATCTGAAATTGATCAAACATGCAATCAAGATATATTGATCAATACTGGTGATTGGAATGCAAAGGTTGGGAGCAAAGAGGAAGGATCAGTAGTTGGAAAATATGGCCTTGGTGATAGAAATGATGCTGGCGATTGCATGATAGAATTCTGCAAAATCAATGATTTGTTCATTTCAAATATCTTCTTTAGACAGCATAAGAGATGACTATACACATGGATGGACCTCACCAGATGGAATACATAGAAATCAAATTGACTACATCTGCGGAAAGAGACGATGGAAAAGCTCCATATCATCAGTGTAAACAAGACCAGGGGCAGATTGTGGAACAGACCATCAATTACTCCTATGCAAATTCAGACTGAAGCTGAAGAAAATGAAAACAAGTCCATGAGAGCCAAAATATGACCTTGAATACATCCCACCTGAATTTAGAAATTACCTGAAGAACAGATTTAATGTATTAGACACACTAAAGACCAAAAAATGAGAAGAGTTGTGGGATGACATCAAGAACATCATACAGGAATAAAGCAAAAAGTCATTAAGAAGACAAGAAAAAAGAAAAAGATCAAAATGCATGTCAGAAGAGACACTGAAACTTGCTCTCCAGCGTAGAGATGCTAAAGCAGATGGAAGAAATGAGGAGGTCCAAGAGCTGAACAGAAAATTTCAAAGGTCAGCTCAAGAAGACAAAGTCAAATATTACAATGAAATGTGCA